GTCCAGCCATGTTGTTGTTTCAACAGATGCTTCCAACACGGGTTGGGAGGCCGTGTGTCGCGGGCATGCAGCTGCGGGCCTGTGGAAGGGTGCCCAGTTGCATTGGTATATCAATCGCCTAGAGCTGTTGACAGTGTTCCTTGCTCTCCACCGCTTTTTACCGGTGCTGGAGCGGCAACACGTGCTGGTCAGGACGGACAGTACAGCGGCGGCGGCATATATCAACCGCATGGGGGGTATGCGGTCTCGCCGCATGTCTCAGCTCACCCGCCGTCTGCTCCTCTGGAGTCACCCGCGGCTGAAATCGCTGCGCGCCATTCATGTTCCAGGCACGCTCAACCGTAAAGCCGATGCGCTCTTACGGCAGCTGTTACGCCCTGGAGAATGGAGACTCCACCCCGAGTCTGTTCAGCTGATATGGGCGCGATTCGGGGATGCCCAGATAGATCTGTTTGCTTCCCCTGAGAACGTTCATTGCCAGTTGTTTTTTTCCCTGAACGAGGGCTCTCTCGGCACGGATGCACTGGCCCACAGCTGGCCTCGGGGCATGCGCAAATATGCGTTTCCCCCAGTGAGCCTGCTCGTGCAGTTTCTGTGCAAGGTCAGGGATGACAAGGAACAGGTTCTGCTAGTTGCGCCCCTCTGGCCCAACCGGACCTGGATATCAAAGCTCTCCCTCCTCGCGACAGCCCTCCCCTGGCAGATCCCTTTGAGAGAGTATCTACTTTCTCTGGGACAGGGTACCATCTGGCACCCTCGCCCCGATCTTTGGAACCTCCACGTGTGGTCCCTAGACGCGAGGAAGACTTAGGTAACCTACCGAGTGCGGTGGTTAATGCCATCACTCAGGCTAGAGCCCCCTCCACGAGGTGCGCCTGAAGTGGAGTCTATTCACTGAATGGTGCGTCTCTCGCAGAGAAGACCCCGAAACTGCCAGATCAGTATTGTGCTCTCTTTCCTCCAAGAGAAGTTGGACAGCAGGCTGTCGCCCTCCACTCTCAAGGTTTACGTGGCCGCCATCTCCGCTTATCATAACGCGGTAGCTGGCAGCACCGTGGGAAAGCACTACCTCATCATCCAGTTCCTCAGGGGTGCTAGGCGAATTAATCCATTCCGCCCCCCTCTCATGCCCTCTTGGGATCTCGCCCTCGTTCTCACGAGTTACGCGCAGATCCCTTTGAGCCACTCGATTCAGTATCTCTAAGATTTCTGTCCCTGAACACAGCTCTGCTGGTCGCGTTGGCCTCCATCAAGAGGGTCGGGGACCTGGAGGCATTTTCGGTCAGTGACTCGTGCCTGGAATTCGGGCCGGACTACTCTCACGTTATCCTGAGACCCCGCCCGGGTTATGTGCCCAAGGTTCCTACCACCCCCTTTAGAGATCAGGTAGTGAACCTGCAAGCGCTGCCCCCGGAGGAGGCAGACCCAGCCCTTTCCTTACTTTGTCCAGTTCGCGCTCTGCGCATTTATGTGGACCGTACTCAGAATTTTAGATCATCTGAGCAGCTCTTTGTCTGTTATGGCGGTCGGCAGCAGGGAAGTGCCGTATCGAAACAAAGATTTTCCCACTGGATTGTGGAGACCATTTCACTCTCTTAGTCGAGCAGAAGTGTGTGTCCCCCGGGAGTGCGTGCACACTCCATTCGGAGCGTTGCATCCTCTTGGGCGCGTGCACGCGGCGCATCTCTAACAGACATTTGTAGAGCTGCGGGCTGGGCGACACCCAACACATTTGCAAGGTTTTACAATCTGCGAGTGGAGCCGGTTTTCTCAAGGGTATTAGATAACCCTTTGGTAATTGAGGAAAAAATTCGGTAGGGTGTTGAAACATGCTTGCTGCGCCATTCTCCCTAACACGGAGGTACGTGCGCCTTTTTATCTGTCAGTAAAGTTCCCCGTCAGGTGAGCCCAGCAGAGTCCTCCGTGGCCCCCAGCACTGACTCAGCGGAGGAGTCACCTGCTGGCCCACTACTTTGTAGGTCTGCCTGCTGGTCAGCCCGTGTTTTGGATATAGGTGCCTGCTATGCGTGATCCCCACTAGGCGATCCCATATGCTTATTCTGCCACGGTTAAGTCCCCCCCCTGGGTGGACCCGTGTCTTCCCTCTTCGCTAACCACTTTTCTTCTATGTGTACTCCCCCTTCATAGGGCTAGTCCATATGTAAATTCTGCCATCTATCCCCCCTTGGGTAGCGGATGGCCTCCGCAGCGTCCTCCCTATCGGGATTGCACGCTTCCCAATGTACTGTCGTATTTTCCTAGTATTATCTAGATGCTCACGGCTTCCCAAAAAATATATCTAAATCGGTAAAACTTCTGTTGAAGTAGGATAAATTAGGGCCAGGGACACGTTGGGGGACCGCGCCTCCCATGATGTGGGTGCGTCACGCTTGCTTGACTATTCCCTCATCGGGGGCGTTGGTAAGGTTTAGTCATTATGGCGCTTTCCATAGTCTTCCCATACGTGGATTTTCAAAATCAAATCCACTGTATATACTCCGTGCTATACTCCGTCGCCATAATGACTAACCCTTAGCTCAGGGGTCGGCAACCCAAAATGTTGAAAGAGCCATATTGGACTAAAAAAAACAAAAACAAATATGTCTGGAGCCGCAAAAAATTAAAAGCCTTATATAAGCCTTATAATGATGGCAACACATGCTGTATGTATTTATATTAGCTATATTAGCCTACTATAAAAATGACTTCGTTGGCTACAAATACATACTGAGCCTTCATGATTAAATGTTCATTTCCCTGCAGTGCATCCTGTAGAGAATGACGCGCCACGTGACTACTCTGTTGTACGATGCCGTCTCAAGTTTAACTTAATTACAGTATATTAATGAATTGTTTAATGATCAAGTTTAACTTCATTACAATATTAATGCATTATGTTTAATGATCAAGTTTAACTTCATCACAATATTAATGCATTATGTTTAATGTTCAAGTTTAACTTCATTACAATATTAATGCATTATGTTTAATGTTCAAGTTTAACTTCATTACAATATTAATGCATTATGTTTAATGTTCAAGTTTAACTTCATTACAATATTAATGCATTATGTTTAATGATCAAGTTTAACTTCATCACAATATTAATGCATTATGTTTAATGTTCAAGTTTAACTTCATTACAATATTAATGCATTATGTTTAATGTTCAAGTTTAACTTCATTACAATATTAATGCATTATGTTTAATGTTCAAGTTTAACTTCATTACAATATTAATGCATTATGTTTAATGTTCAAGTTTAACTTCATTACAATATTAATGCATTATGTTTAATGTTCAAGTTTAACTTCATTACAATATTAATGCATTATGTTTAATGTTCAAGTTTAACTTCATTACAATATTAATGCATTATGTTTAATGTTCAAGTTTAACTTCATTACAATATTAATGCATTATGTTTAATGATGAAATTAAATTTTGATGAAATTAAAGAAATCAGATTTTTTTTAATGTTTTTTTTATTTTGAGGATTCAAAAAAACAACATCAAAATGAACGTGCACAACGTGCCCCTTATCTGGGCAACAAACAGTGCAATAAAATGCAGCCTGCCATTTCCATTTCAAGATCAGCTCGAGTCATTCCTGGGAATGTGCTCAATAAGGAAGGGTCAATCTCCAGGGGTGTGTGTCAAGGAAAGTCAGTCTCGTTTTTTGCTTTCGCAACTCGCAAAATCTGCTCCCAAATGCAGTTTGCATATCAACGATCGCACCTTGTAAATAATCACCGTTGAGTGAGTGATCGGGATTGGCTTCTTTGAATTCTCTCAGGGAGGGAAAATGAGAAAGCGTGCCCCGCCGTACATCTTTGGCAAAGACAGCTTGCGCTCCATGGCGCATCACACAGCCGCCGGTTTGTTTACAACAGCTACCTGCCTGGCATCCCGCCCTGCTGATCGAAACGTGTGTCGCAGGCTATGACGCAAATCTTCGTTGACAGAAATGTTGAAATTAAATATTCTACACACTTTTACAGCATTGGAAAACGTTAAGATTGTTTGTCCTCCTATAGAAACCATATTAAAACAAAAAATATATTTACCTCCCTCATCGTTTTCCATTTTCAAACATATTTTGAAAAAGTTCCAGGGAGCCACTAGGGCAGCGCTTAAGAGCCGCATGCGGCTCTAGAGCCGCGGGTTGCCGACCCCTGCCTTAGCTGTTTGAAAGTCTCTTCAGCTTAAAAGGATAATGTTTGCTCACTCCAGGTGTGCTTATATGCTGGGATAATTGGCAATGAGGCACACCTGTGCAAGCTTACACTGCCAATTCATTGCATTCATTGGCCCGTTCAATACTCTTTCAGACAAGCGACTTCTAAACCGAATCCTTCCCATACGTGGATTTTCAAAATGAAATCCACTGTATAGCACTGAAGTTCCCCTCCTCGGGGAACGAAGGGTTACTTCTGTAACCTCGAACGTTCTATGTACAGTAACAGCACCTTACTGTTTTGCTATGTAACCTAAGGGGATAGTTCACCTAAAAATGAAAAATCTGTCACTGTTTACTCACCCTTTACTTGTTCCAAACAAACTTGTTTGTTTGTTTGTTGTTCTGTTAACCACAGTATACTGAAGAATGTTTGAAACCTGTAATCATTGATGCCTTTAGTATTTGCTTTCCTACTATAGAAGTCAATGATTATAGGTTTAAAACATTCTTTATTATATCTGCCTTAGAATAAACTGCTTTGGAACAAGTAAAGGGTGAGTAAACAATGACAAAACTTTCATTGTTGGGTAAACTTTCCAATTATTTTAATGTTCAAAATCTACCATTTATTATTAACAAAATACAAGATTAAACACTTCATTCTTTTTTCGAATAAACTTGTTTTTTTTTTTTCATAAGACTACCAGAACATTATCACACAACACAAAAAACAACACGAACAAGACAATACACACTCTGCTGTACTACACTCACCTTAACATAAAGCAACATTTGGTAAACTATATTTTTATATTTCAGGGCTCAGCAGTCAGTCATAACTCAAGTACATTAAAATCAACAGTTGTGGCTCAGTGGAACGCTCCTAACATTAACAACACGGATATTCAGTTCAGGTAACATATATTTCACTTGTTCAGACTGTTATGCTTATATTCCCTTTGAATTATATCAGTTTGATGCATTAATTAAAACCTGTCATCAACGTTTCTTTCAGCTAAAAAGTAACCTAATCAGACCAAATGTTATTTTTTGTATGTCATGTGACTATATTGTGTTAATTGTTATATATTGTGTTAATGAACAGTGTAGATGTAGGTGTAAATGCAGTATGTGGCAATCAATTACATATTGAGTCTGCATTATTTTCTATTAATTTACCCAAGTTTAGTGAAATGGAACTGTATTGCAGTCAAGATTTTAGCTGTGCTTTTTCTGCTGTCTAAGTGTAAATAAACTTGATGCTTTTGCAGGGCAACTTTTGTCCAGAATTTCTCTGTCTATTGGGTTGGTGTTGCAAGTCCTCTTATTAGATACCTGGCCACAGATCCTCTAAATTCAACAATCTTCCCACCAAATTCAACAGGCCTCCCCCCAAATCCAACAGGCCTCCCACCAAATCCAACAGACCTCCCACCAAATTCAACGAGCCTTCCACCAAACTCAACAGTTTTTCCACCAAATTCAACAGTCCTTCCACCGAATTCAACAGTTTCCACAACCCATACGACAGTTCTGTCACCAGCCACCACAAAACGCAACAGCAGTCCATCAGTGTCTGTCACCATGTGTCTTCTTCTTCTGCCTCTGCTGGCAATATTTTAAAACTGGAAAAAACTTTACAAAATCAGCTTTAAAAAAAACACTTCACTATCAATGATATTATTTTAAAGGTGCCATTTAAACAATGAAAGTCTTGACATACCTAGGCATGGCTGAATAATCAGACTTCAGTACATGCTGAAATGACTTGCTGTGATCCTCAAACACCAATGTTTTTCCTTTTCTAATGTATATCCTGTGAGTGTAAAATCTCCTATAAGGTTAAAAACAGGGCATTCGGAACAAATCACAAACTCTGACGCTCCACACAGGATCATTGATGTGCTCGTCCCAGGTTGCATTTGATTGACCACAATATTTCCTAGTGAGATTACAACAAAGATATTTTCTCACTTAATTTTAAGTCTATCTAAGCTTATATTAAACATGCTATGTGTGTGGCACAAGATACGCGTAACTGGAGAGGCAGAGGGACTAAAAAGGGGCAGTTTTGTGAAGCAGGCAGCAACCACAGAATGTTCCCAACTTGTCATAGCACAAAATGCAGGATATACAGATTGTCAATTTATTCAGTGCTAGTTTGAGGTCTGTTTTGATGTATATTTTTTATTTTTAACATGTATATTGTGAAATTTCTTGTGTATGTTTGTGATGAGGCAATGCACACATGTAAACTTTTGAGTATAAGTGTTTAATGTACTGTACGTTTATATCATATCACTCAGCTTTTGTGAGTGCTCTTTTGAGTGGAAGGACGCCAAAACTTTACAACTTTAGAAAAGTCATGTGTTTAGGTAGAGGTTAATATTAATTTATTTAATATACAACTCTTAATACATCTCTGTCTGTCCCTTTTGTTAAGTTGTATTGTAATGAGCCGATAACTCAGGAGAAAGGCTACTATAGTTTCATAAAAGTGTCTCACTCATTTTTTTCAGCTAGTAAGTTTTTTAAAATCTTTTTGACAAATCAAGTGTGATTATTTTGCATGTGTGTATTTCAGAGTACATCACAGTGTATTTGAGCAGGCGGTAGCTATGTTTCCATCCAAAGATGCAAATAAAAGACATGCCTAATAAAGCAGCATTTCCAATCAGTCAAAGAGAAAAAAAATTGTCCCTTCCTGATTAACTGGCACCAAATATCAACAGTATGAGAAGCTGTGTGAATCTTTTTTTTATTTAATAAACGACTTTCACCTCAGAAGACAGTATGCTGACACGTAATGAACACGTGGTGGCGTTTGAAGGTGTCAGACACGGAGGACAGATGCGCTTGACAGTTCTGGAGGTAATTAATAATATCATAACACTAATACTGAAATAATCAGAATGACCAAAATAACATTTCAGATGTTTTGCAATGTGCTCAGCCTCCTGGTTTGTCCATTCATGCACATCACATGATCTCTCTCTTATAATGTGCTTACTGGAATGTAAAATTGTTTCCATCATAGTTTATGCACATCTTTTCATATCAAATTAAAACTTTATCCAACTCAGTTATGCGCTCAGTTATGTTTTTTTATGCGCAAATCCAAAATGTGCATAAAAAGAGGTGGATGGAAACATAGCTATTGACACAAGATGGAGCATCAGTGCAGAGCTCATTAATATTCACAACCATTCCAAATATGGTCAAAAGTAAGCTTGTCATTCTAGGGGTAATTTTATAAATTTATAAATGAGCATATAAAACCAAAATTTCTGGAGAATGTTTGAACTTACCTAAGCCACATTCCTACTTTGCAGATATCAGAGAACAATTTAACTCGTTGATTCAATGCAGTAAATGGCACCTTTAAATTTTATACTGGGCTTGGGTAAAATATGGACAAATTCAACAGTTGGGTTTGAGATACGGTAAAAATATATTAAAAATAACTCAGGAGATGTTTATTATATATATTTTACTCAAATTGGATGTCAAATTTGTTTTGAAACAAAGCTAAAACAACCCTTTTCTATGGTCAGGGCCATTATAGCAAGTAATAATTCATTTTATAGCTGTTCTAACACAAAATGTCATTGTTCTGTTATATTTATATGTAGTGTATATAATAAAACCTGAATGAAATAAATGTATTTGTATCTCATATCTTGACTGTTTAATACCCAAAGCATGGAACTGAAAGCAGCTTTAGTTTACAGTGTGTTTGTGTGTGAAAAAAACTGCAAAAACAGATGTCAAAACCACTTTAGTTTTATTTCTTCTTCTAAAGCAAAAGTGGACACAAATACAAACAAGAACAAACTTTGTACATATATCATACGCCATGTCTGTGAGTTTGTGTGTGTGTGTGTGTGTGTGAGCAGTACAGTACACAGGAGGAGTGTTTGTCTGTATGATCAGTAGACCCACGGCTCCTCTGCTGTCCAGTTACAGGAGCTGCCTTTATGGGGTCCCGCAGGACCACCAGAGGGCCAGTGCCCTTCTGATTTAGCACCGTTCTTTATTGAGAGGTGACTGCCAGCGTTGAGAGGGGGTTGGGGGGGTTCTGGGTTCAGTGCGTCCAGTATGTAAAGGAGGGACATCATTGGCTTTTGTTCCTGCAGGACAGACAACAGGCCTTCCTGTAGTACCAGTGAGTGCACAGCTTCACCCGCAGCACCAGGGCACAGTTAGCAGTCGGTTTATCTTGACACGCATCATCAGCTGTGGGAGATTGAGAAACCCTTTTAAAAGATATTCAAAAGTGTCCTTATAATTTTGTTTACTTTTATTCCTCAAAAATATAAGAGTTGTTCCAGTGTGAAAGCATAGCCATTCATTATGTAAATTTTTCTTTCAATAAGTGCTGATATTTTAAACATTCTAGTCACCAAAGAATGCTAAAAAGTAAACATGTTGAGAATAACACAAAAATGTCACAGTTCCCACAAAACTATGAGGAAATATATATATTTTTAACATTGATAATACTTACTAACTCCCAGGACCATTTATATTGAAGTAGATTTTTAGCCGCACCATGTTGGTGTTTCATAATCTTAATTTTTTACGAAGCTTACAACCTGGAGGACCAGGACAAACATACATACAATTCCTAATTCACCTATAGGGCATGTATTTGGGCTGTGGGGGAAACCGGAGCACCCGGAGGAAGCCCATGCAAACACAAGGGAGAACATGCAAACTCCACACAGAAATGCCAACTGAAACAGTCGGTGCTCAAACCAGCTACCTTCTTGCTCTGAGGTGACAGTGCTACCCACTGCGCCACCGCGCTGCCCATAGCATAGTATGTTTCAGTATAAAATATTCTAATTACTTAGATGTTTATAACTGATATTCATTAATAGCAAAGACTTCCTCAGTTGTTTGTTATTTTAGAATCAGGTTTACCTTATCAGAGTCTAGTTTGCCACCCCCAACATTGATAATTATATGAATTATTAAAGTCTATGTGAAATCAAAATGTGCAATGTTCATTTACTACCACATATTGTTGTTCCTAATGTAAACTATTTGTGCATGCTGATCCACTGAAAAACATAGTTTATTTTGGCAATCTTTAATCAAAGCTTCACATTTGGAGTCGAGTTTCTTTTTTGTTCAGGGTGTCTGCAGGGTTTTAAAAAGTATTAAAAGTCGCTAAATTATTTATGAGAAAATTAAGGCCCTTAAAAGACATTAAAAAGTCTTAATCAAATTTTTATGAGGTCTTAAATTTAGTTCAAGCATTGTCTAAAGTGTTTGACTTCAAAAAGCATAAATATATTTGTTTTCCTCCTAATATTACTAACGGCTTGCTCGATTAGTTCGGGCCGGGATGCATCAGGCCAAGCTCCTCTGTCTGTGTGATGTCACGTAATTTGCGACAAGGTGATGTGGCGCTATCCACATGTAGCGAAACCATGAAGCGAAACAGATGGCAAAATGGGAAAATGTAAGTTTGTGTACTCCTGGTTGAGGATAGATGAGTTTAAACCATGGCTGAAGCCTGTCGCTGAAAACAACTTACTGCGTAATTTATTCTTCCAAGCTTTGTTTCTGATGCTTTATTGATTTATTCAACTACAACTGTTGAATCTTTAAAAGTATTTAAAAAGTATTGAAATTACCTTTAGGATTCCTGCATATACCCTGTTGTTGATGTCAGTTTGATGGCTTCAGCCATAACACACACAGTTTCAATTTACCAGAACTGCTAAGTAAAGCTGCTTTGACACAATCTGCATTGTTAAAACGCTATACAAATAAACATGAATTGAACTGAATCAAAAATATGCTTAACCATGCCCCTTTTACCATTAGTTTGTTATGAGGGAATGATCCAAAATCCCACTTCCTACTAAATATTCCATTTTAGTTGAAAGCACGTTAACACACTGAAAAACTCTTTGCAACTTCTAGTTTTAGTTTTTCGTGGTTGTGTGATCACTGAATCCAACGCAAAATCAACAAAAAGTCGCTAACTTTTGCTATCCAGCATAATTCCTAATTTAATCTCAAAATAATTAATTCCAAACCATATGATCAAATAATATTTATTTCAGTTATCAATGATCAAATGACAATCATTACTCTATATGGAAGTGGGGGTTGTTTTGCAGCCTGTGCAGTAAGCAGACGAGGACAAAGTGTGAGGTATTTACATGTGAAGTCAATGCAAAGATGCATTAGACAGCCAAATCCATGGTTAATCAGCTATAAATCACATTTAAATTTCCCAATATTTGTATTTTATTAATGTCTACCCCAACCCTAAACCCAACCATCACAGTAATGTAAAAACAGATCTGCAGTCTTCTCTATTAGTATAGCTGATTAACCATGTGGATGGTTGATAACAGCCTTCTGAACAGAATGCTCCTACTGGCCCATATCTATCAGCTGATAACCACTGATAACATCCATTCAATCGAGAGATAACATTTGAAGCGGGTGATAATAAGCAAACAGCAACACTCGTGATCTGTTGTAATGTTACCAACACAAATCCTGATCTTATCCTTTATTAAACATAACGAAATCTGCCTGAATCTCACAGTACACCTGGAATTTTTAAAAGCCTAGCTGATAATATTTTACTTGAAGGGTGTGTTCATAAGACAGTTATGACACATTTCTAAACATTACATGGTATATGTAATGAATATGAAGGAGATTTAAACAGGCATATGACTTAACTGTTAAGTGTGATTCGCTTAGTTAAGTCATTTCAAATGCAAAAGGTGACTACCTGTCTCTGTTTTGACTTCTTGACATTACTAAGAAAACCAAACCTGTTAGTGTCTGTCATGACAACTTAAAAAAATATTATGAAATTGCAAATATTGACACAAAATATTATTATAATGGCATATTAAATACGTTCCACTGTAGCTGAGGTCAAGGAAAAAATATATTATGCTGTTATTAAATTGTTTGACAAGAATAGTCACACTTTTAATGAGATTTTTCAAATAAAATTTACATACGTTCCACTAAGTAAAGTAAAGATCAAAATATGCATGACCATTATAATGGCTTCATGACAATCATGTTTATGAACGATTTATGAAAAGTTATGTAGTCTTGATAATGTCAAGCTGTCATGACAAAAACAAAAACAGGTTGTCAAATTGTAATGACAAAGACATCTCAAACAATGTCATCTTTCCATTTAAATTGATAAAACTGAGTGAAAGACACTTAATGACAAAATAAATCTGTCATGTCATGATTACAAAGGGGTCATGGTATATCATAAAGGTTTATCTTATGAGCAACCCCTTCAAGTAATGATGTTAATAATAAATCAATACATATTAAAGTCAAATTATTATACTCATCATAAATTCAAGTAATGTATAATAAATGCAGAAATATTCATTTTAATTAAATATTAATACATTTTTATAAATGTATACCATGTTAAAATACCAGTTTAAACCCATAGCATTGGTAGACTCATGTAACTTCTAGCTCATGGGCAGAAGCTTGCAAGTTAATAGTAGCGAAAACTTTATTTAAAGTATATGTGATGCTGAAATCATTGTTAAATGAAGAAAAAGCTGTATATTAAATCAAATATCTGAAATATCCATATTTACATTTATATTTTTAAATGTGTAAACCCCATTTTATAAGAGAAACTTAATAAGTATATAAATTAGTAATCTAAGCTAAATGTTACAAACAGGGTTCACACTCTTTCACAAACAGCAGATTTAAGGACTTTTTAAAGCATCATTAAATTTAAATCAGCACTTTTGTAATACACATCGCCAGCATATGTAGCGTCATGAAAGTCCTTACTGTACTTAACATTTCTCTTACACTTAATATTTACCTTATGTAATATTTATATTTACATTTTGTGATGAGGATGCTTTAAAGATGTCATTTAAAAAATAGACCATTTTAAACTGTTCAAAGAACTTTAATAAAATTGTTAATATTAAAAATCAAATATTAATAAAGTGTGCATTTGTTTGTCATTTTTTGTTCTTGAACAAGATTTCAAGATTTTTTAATTAAGAATTTCTCTCTTTTTTTGTTCTGTTTTTTACAGCAGCACACACTATAAGCCAATTTTATTTTTATTTAAAGGGCATCTATTTTACCCCTTTTTCAAGATTTAAAATAAGTCTCTTGTGTCTCCAGTAATTTAGCAGTATGTTTGTAAAGTTTCAGGTCAAAACACCCATCGTATATTACAGAATATTAGAATTTTTAGCTCTGAACACCCACGTGCCTGTCAGAGTGTCTCCGCCACGGCTGTGTCAGATAAACAGCACAGTGACAGACATGAAGGAAACAGATCTCACGTAACGTTTGTGAGAAATAATACCATAAGAACTTTCCCAATGATTATTAGATGTATTTGTTGTGGAGTTAATTCAAGCCTTTCGATGAGTCACACACAATGTCATTACAAAGTTCACACACACACAAACAGACACATACATACAACGCACACGTTTAACTTTGCACTGTTTTTGCACACCATACGTGAGAGGAAACAGTAATCTCCGCTGCTGTATGGATATCCGTTATGTTGATGTACAAAAAAAACCTGAATTAACATCCACAAATCAGAATTGAAGGGTCTTCTTTTATATTTGTACTGACATGCGGCTGTGGTGATAAAGTAACGCTGAAGTAAAT